TGTGACCAAGGCATAATAGCACACAAAAAAGCCGGGGCTTAAAGGGAAAAACAGGGGGGAAAAATGGGGAGATGGATCTATAATTTTTCCCCACAAACAGAAAAAACAAAGGGGTTTGTAGTCAAAAAGAAATGTCTGAGGGGCTTTCGGGGAAAAGCTTTTTTTGTTCCCCCAAAGCAAAGTACTCCCCATCTTTTTTTTCTCTCCATATTTTGAAAAGAAAGGATGTCAGCCACAGACCCTGGGCTTCCTTTGCAGATGACACCCGATTTTGCATGACAGTTTTCCCCTTGCAAAGGGACTGCAAGGCTCCAGGCGGACATCAACCCAAAACTTTCGTGGGGGTGCAGAAAAAAAATATTTAAATTCAAACGATGAGAAATTTCAATTGTACTCCGATATGGTAGACACGGGGAAAAAATCAAACCATCAGGTAAAAACAAAAATTTCCCGGGCCCCAAAAAAGGCGGAAAAAAAAAACGTCAAAAAACCCGGGAGTTGGGTATTTTCGGGGATTTTTCACCTTTAAGGGGCCAAAACATTGTATCCCAATTTCAAACTCCCAGTAAAATGACAGGATGGAAAAATGAGAACCTTTTAAAACTAGGGATGCCAAGCCCCTGATTCCCCTTCAAGGGCGCTTGTTCTTTCTAGGGTGGGGGAAAATTGCTGCACACTAACCAAAAAACCCTTTTAAGGCAGGTGAAAAAGGTGACCTTTGGGAAAATGTACAGAGAACCTTCACAGAACGCATAAAGGAGATAAAACACCCCAATTTCTGGGAGGCTTAAAGTTCCCCGAAACCCGTATTCCGGAAAGAGGCGGGGGGGGAGATACACGTTTTTTACACCCGGGGAAAAACCCAGAGGGACTAGTAACCCAACTTGGCCCCAGAAAAAACATTCGCAAAGGGAAAACAAAAAATTTTGGGAGGGCGATGCAAATCCCCCCCAAAGAAAGCAAAGGGGTTTTTCACTAGCACATTTTAAAAGGGGCAATAAAAATAAGTGTCGGGGCCGAGACTGTTTAATGCCTCCCCGCATACTAAGGGGGGGTTTCCAACAGACCCCTGGCCAAATCTTCAAACTGGCACGGGCAAGCACCCCAAATTTGGTACCCGACCCGCCGGGGGTTTTTGGCTCGTACGTTGGATTGCGTTTCAGCCCGCAGTAACAGGGCCCGGTTGATCAGGCTCTGGGTCCACCCGGGGCCTGGTTCCCGACCGGGGGCCCTGGGGGGCATTTACCCAAGGGAAAACCCCCTTTTTTAAAACAGGAAACAGAAATATGAGGGGGAAAAAACCAAAAAATGCATACTCTGAAAAAGAAAATGGGAAAACCTTGGGTAAAAATTGTCAAAGGGGATGTCACAAAGATTTTTGTTTAAAATGGGAAAATTATTAAGAAAGTCTGCAGTAGCCACTCCTTTGAAAAGAAGAAATGTCAACAGCACTAAATGCAGCTTCTCTAAGTGGTTTTGGAATGGCTTTCAATGTTTATAATATTTTATATTAACTATGACCACACCTTCCCCACCTAAAATAGTCTCAAATGCCTCAAATCAGAGGCAACCAAGACAATTTTTTATTATTCTAACAATATAAATGTGTAGCCTAAGTAGAATTTGGTCAGTATGTGTATCCGTTATCCCTTTACATTATTTCTAAAGTAAATATTTAAATAAAATGAACTTTTTAGGTTACCCTGTGAATAATTCAATGTCTTGATTAACCCACTTAACAATATCAAATAAGGTAAACCCTCGGAATCTCCTTGGTTATCAGTGGTTAAATCAGCATCATTTACCATCAATCTATTTTTTAAGGACATCATACATAATTTCAAACTTACAATGGCTTTATACAGTATATTATGTATAACCCAGTATAAGCAATAAGTAATGGAAGATGTCTTCTGTGCAGATTTCAGCCATTAATTATAGTTTGATTTGTATAACATTAAGTTGGAGGGAAGGAGGGAAGAGTATATGGAGAAAAAGAGAGAGGTTAAGAGAGTGGTGAAGCAATGTAAAAAGAGAGCAAATGAGAGAGTGGGTGAGATGTTATCAACAAATTTTGTTGAAAATAAGAAAAAGTTTTGGAGTGAGATTAACAAGTTAAGAAAGCCTAGAGAACAAATGGATTTGTCAGTTAAAAATAGGAGAGGAGAGTTATTAAATGGAGAGTTAGAGGTATTGGGAAGATGGAGGGAATATTTTGAGGAATTGTTAAATGTTGATGAAGATAGGGAAGCTGTGATTTCGTGTATAGGACAAGGAGGAATAACATCTTGTAGGAGTGAGGAAGAGCCAGTTGTGAGTGTGGGGGAAGTTCGTGAGGCAGTAGGTAAAACGAAAGGGGGTAAGGCAGCCGGGATTGATGGGATAAAGATAGAAATGTTAAAAGCAGGTGGGGATATAGTTTTGGAGTGGTTGGTGCAATTATTTAATAAATGTATGGAAGAGGTTAAGGTACCTAGGGATTGGCAGAGAGCATGCATAGTTCCTTTGTATAAAGGCAAAGGGGATAAAACAGAGTGCAAAAATTATAGGGGGATAAGTCTGCTGAGTATACCTGGTAAAGTGTATGGTAGAGTTATTATTGAAAGAATTAAGAGTAAGACAGATAATAGGATAGCAGAAGAACAAGGAGGCTTTAGGAAAGGTATGGGGTGTGTGGACCAGGTGTTTACAGTGAAACATATAAGTGAACAGTATTTAGATAAGGCTAAAGAGGTCTTTGTGGCATTTATGGATTTGGAAAAGGCGTATGACAGGGTGGATAGGGGGGCAATGTGGCAGATGTTGCAAGTGTATGGTGTAGGAGGTAGGTTACTGAAAGCAGTGAAGAGTTTTTACGAGGATAGTGAGGCTCAAGTTTGAGTATGTAGGAAAGAGGGAAATTTTTTCCCAGTAAAAATAGGCCTTAGACAAGGATGTGTGATGTCACAGTGGTTGTTTAATATATTTATAGATGGGGTTGTAAGAGAAGTAAATGCGAGGGTCTTGGCAAGAGGCGTGGAGTTAAAAGATAAAGAATCACACACAAAGTGGGAGTTGTCACAGCTGCTCTTTGCTGATGACAGTGTGCTCTTGGGAGATTCTGAAGAGAAGTTGCAGAGATTGGTGGATGAATTTGGTAGGGTGTGCAAAAGAAGAAAATTAAAGGTGAATACAGGAAAGAGTACAGTTATGAGGATAACAAAAAGATTAGGTGATGAAAGATTGAATATCAGATTGGAGGGAGAGAGTATGGAGGAGGTGAATGTATTCAGATATTTGGGAGGGGACGTGTCAGCGGATGGGTCTATGAAAGATGAAGTGAATCATAGAATTGATGAGGGGAAAAGAGTGAGTGGTGCACTTAGGAGTCTGTGGAGACAAAGAACTTTGTCCTTGGAGGCAAAGAGGGGAATGTATGAGAGTATAGTTTTACCAACGCTCTTATATGGGTGTGAAGCATGGGTGATGAATGTTGCAGTGAGGAGAAGGCTGGAGGCAGTGGAGATGTCATGTCTGAGGGCAATGTGTGGTGTGAATATAATGCAGAGAATTCGTAGTTTGGAAGTTAGGAGGAGGTGCGGGATTACCAAAACTGTTGTCCAGAGGGCTGAGGAAGGGTTGTTGAGGTGGTTCGGACATGTAGAGAGAATGGAGCGAAACAGAATTACTTCAAGTGTATCAGTCTGTAGTGGAAGGAAGGCGGGGTAGGGGTCGGCCTAGGAAAGGTTGGAGGGAGGGGGTAAAGGAGGTTTTGTGTGCGAGGGGCTTGGACTTCCAGCAGGCATGCGTGAGCGTATTTGATAGGAGTGAATGGAGACAAATGGTTTTTAATACTTGACGTGCTGTTGGAGTGTGAGCAAAGTAACATTTATGAAGGGGTTCAGGGAAACCGGCAGGCCGGACTTGAGTCCTGGAGATGGGAAGTACAGTGCCTGCACTCTGAAGGAGGGGTGTTAATGTTGCAGTTTTAAAACTGTAGTGTAAAGCACCCTTCTGGCAAGACAGTGATGGAGTGAATGATGGTGAAAGTTTTTCTTTCTCGGGCCACCCTGCCTTGGTGGGAATCGGCCAGTGTGATAATAAAATAAAAAATAAGTTGGATTGAGTAGATATTTTGCTGAGCAAATGGTAAAATAGCAACCTAATAAAACCCATTAAACTCAAAATAAAACAGCCTAACATAACTTATTCTTCCTCCTCCTTCAGTAGATGTGCATATTTGATTATATATAGCCATTGTACTGACTCGATACTAAGTGTTGACTCAGATATGCTGTACAACTAAACTTAATGCAGAGTTTTGCATAACTAAACTTAATGCAAAGGTCTACAGAGTAATAGTAGTTAACAAGGATCCAAGTGGAAATAAGTAACTGACTTTTTTGGGTTATCCTGGGTAATGTACACAAATGCTGCTATGTATGATAATTTATGTAACTGTATTTGTGTGCACCTGTACCTCGATAAAAATATTTAACTATTACTCCAAAAATTATTTCTCACTGTAAATTCTTTATATGAAAACCAAGTGTAATAATGACCATAAATACTGCACTGCATTCATGGGTGAGACCGAAACCCTTAAGAGTTATACAGTGCCTGGGAGTGGGGGGGGGGATACTAGGGTCGATCCAAGGAATGGGAGGTCAGGTTGTTCCTAGAATCAAGAGCCTCTCACCGGAATCAAGGAACCTCCCTCAACGTGACCATAAAAAACATCAATCTATATAATCACCTAATACTTGTGTAACAGTAGACACTGCATGTGTAACTGCCCCTAAATACCCTTACTTACTTATTAACTAAATAGTTAACACCGTACCCACAAACATGTGCCAAACCAACCTCAACTTTGTCTAATATCTCAACCTCACGGCTTCCAGAGGAACTAAACAGCTCAGCGCAACAACGATACACTCACACATCCCAAAACTAGATGAACGAATACGGAAACATAGAAGAACCGTGGAAAAAAGCGAGATAAATAAGCGGAGAGGTACCTCACCAGCGGTAGCGTGGAGCAGCAACACAGGAGGAAAGATGGCGGCGTGTTTGGTCCCGGGGCCAAACCCAAAACAAAACTCCCCACAATACACTCATTATCAAAAAAAAAATAATTTCTAGACAACGTTTTGCATTATCAATAGGGGTGAAAAAAGTTCATTTTTGACATTGGGGTGTCTTTTAAAGGGTTTTGGGAGACAGCTTCCCCAGGTAACCAGATTACTACTCCATTATTTTTTTTAAAATACCATTGTTATTTCACTATCATTATTATTGCACTATTATTACACTGGAGTCGAGCCCGCAACCAAATTTACCATTAAAAATAAAAAAACCATTTTTCTACCAACATTTTTAAACAACCCTTATTACACACATCCAATTTTACAAAATTTTACTACAAACCTTTATTTCTACACTACCATATTACTACAAACCATTATTCTACAAAAATTTTAATCACACCCTTATTACTACACAACCTTTTAACCACCCTTTTATAAAACCTTTTTTTACACAACCTTTTTTACTACACTCCATTTTTACTACATCCATTATTACTTTCCTACCCATTATTACTCACTACCTTTTACTAACAAATTTTTAACACAACCCTTTTCTACATACCATATTACAAACTACCATTATTACTACACTACCATTATTACTACACTACCATTATTACTACACTACCATTATTACTACACTACCATTATTACTACACTACCATTATTACTACACTACCATTATTATACTACACTACCATTATTACTACTCTACCATTATTACTACACAACCATTATTACTACACAACCATTATTACTACACAACCATTATTACTACACTACCATTATTACTACACTACCATTATTACTACACAACCATTATTACTACACTACCATTATTACTACACAACCATTATTACTACTCTACCATTATTACTACACAACATTATTACTACACTACCATTATTACTACACTACCATTATTACTACTCTACCATTATTACTACACAACCATTATTACTACACTACCATTATTACTACACAACCATTATTACTACACTACCATTATTACTACACAACCATTATTACTACACAACCATTTTACTACACTACCATTATTACTACACAACCATTATTACTACACTACCATTATTACTACACAACCATTATTACTACTCTACCATTATTACTACACAACCATTATTACTACACTACCATTATTACTACACAAAATTATTACTACTCGACCATTATTACTACACAACCATTATTACTACACTACATTATTATACACAACCATTATTACTACACTACCATTATTACTACACAACCATTATTACTACTCTACCATTATTACTACACAACCATTATTACTACACAACCATTATTACTACACTACCATTATTACTACACAACCATTATTACTACACTACCATTATTACTACACAACCATTATTACTACTCTACCATTATTACTACACAACCATTATTTACTACCACTACAATTATTACTACACAACCATTATTACTACTCTACCATTATTACTACACAACCATTATTACTACACAACCATTATTGTAATAAAGTTGGTAGAATTACCGACAATATGTAAAGTAAAAGGACATAAGTGCAACTAATGTGACATTTATTGTGGCAACGTTTCGCTCTCCAGGAGCTTTATCAAGCCATTACAAACAATACATGGACACAGAGGGTATATAAAGGCTCAGAGTGAGGTGCAATACTAGTGAGGTACCATTTCGATGTTCACTAGTGGTAGTAGTAGTAGTAGTAGTAGTGGTTTAGTAGTAGTAGTAGTAGTAGTAGTAGTAGTAGTAGTAGTAGTAGTAGTAGTAGTAGTAGTAACAAAAATAATACAATATGGAAGAGCAAATAATTCGTACATGAGTAAAAGGATATAAAAGCTATTACTTGGGTAACATAAAAATAGGTTGGACAAATATAGACTGGAAAGAGGCAGTTTTTTTTTTTTTTCCGGTGTTCACTCTCTGTAATGTGCTTGTGTAGTATAACAGGAGAGACTATGTGATGGCAGGGTTTACTGTTTTCAGGAGGATTCTTGCTAAGACTTCGGAGATGGTGAAGCTGCCGTTGTTTTGTTTAATTGTAGTATTCGAAACAGCGATCAGTGATGATTTTTTTTTTTTATATTTTATTTAAAACTCAGGTACAAAATATATGGGTACATAATCAATATGTAACAAGATACAGGCAGTGAACAATAATCAACTGTGACTACACAGTACTGAAGAAGCACATATATAATGACAGAACTGGCTGCTGCACTCAAATCAAACACCTCTTGTACGTACTGTGCTTCACATGAAAAGGTGGTCATACATACATACCTGGAGTTTACCTGGAGAGAGTTTCGGGGGTCAACGCCCCCGCGGCCCGGTCTGTGACCAGGCCTCCTGGTGGATCAGCGCCTGATCAACCAGGCTGTTGCTGCTGGCTGCACGCAAACCAACGTACGAGCCACAGCCCGGCTGATCAGGAACTGACTTTAGGTGCTTGTCCAGAGCCAGCTTGAAGACTGCCAGGGGTCTGTTGGTAATCCCCCTTATGTGTGCTGGGAGGCAGTTGAACAGTCTCGGGCCCCTGACACTTATTGTATGGTCTCTTAACGTGCTAGTGACACCCCTGCTTTCATTTGGGGGGTTGGTGCATCGTCTGCCAAGTCTTTTGCTTTCGTAGTGAGTGATTTTCGTGTGCAAGTTCGGTACTAGTCCCTCTAGGATTTTCCAGGTGTATATAATCATGTATCTCTCCCCCCTGCGTTCCAGGGAATACAGGTTTAGAAACCTCAAGCGCTCCCAGTAATTGAGGTGTTTTATCTCCGTTATGCGCGCCGTGGGAAAATTCTCTGACATTTTCTAGGTCGGCAATTTCACCTGCCTTGAAAGGTTTCTGTTAGAGTGCAGCAATATTCCAGCCTAGATAGAACAAGTGACCTGAAGATGTCATCATGGGCTTGGCCTCCCTAGTTTTGAAGGTTCTCATTATCCCTCCTGTCATTTTTCTAGCAGATGCGATTGATACAATGTTATGGTCCTTGAAGGTGAGATCCTCCGACATAATCACTCCAGGTCTTTGACGTTGGTGTTTCGCTCTATTTTGTGGCCAGAATTTGTTTTGTACTCTGATGAAGATTTAAATTTCCTCATGTTTACCATATCTGGTAATTGAAATTTCTCATCGTTGAACTTATATTGTTTTCTGGCCCGCCCACTGAAGATTTGGTTGATGTCTGCCCGGAGCCTTGCAGTGTCTGCAATGGAAGACACTGTCATGCAGATTCGGGTTCATCTGCAAAGGAAGACACAGTGCTGTGGCGACATCCTTGTCTATGTCGGATATGAGGATGAGGAACAAGAGGGAGCTAGTCTGTGCTTGTGGAACAAGAGCTTTCACCGTAGCTGCCTCGGACTTTACTCTGTTGACGACTACTCTCTGTGTTCTGTTAGTGAGGAAATTATAGATCCATCGACCGACTTTTCCTGTTATTCCTTTAGCGCGCATTTTGTGCGCTATTTCGCCATGGTCACACTTGCGAAGGCTTTTGCAAAGTCTGTATATATTACATCTGCATTTTTTTTTGTCTTCTAGTGCATTTAGGACCTTGTCGTAGTGATCAATAGTTGAGACAGACAGGAGCGACCTGTTCTAAACCCATGTTGCCCTGGGTTGTGTAACTGATGGGTTTCTAGATGGGTGGTTTATCTTGCTTCTTAGGACCCTTTCAAAGATTTTATGATATTTGGGATGTTATGTGCTATTGGTTCTGTAGTTTTTTGCTGTTGCTTTACTGCCCCTTTGGGGTGGGCTTGTCTGTTGTTTTTAGTAACTGAGGGACGACCCCGGTCCATGTATATATATACATATATATATATACTTACACACACACTTATATACTTTATAACACTTTATAATATTTTATAAATTTTAATATATAATATATTTTAAAATTATATATATATATATATATTATTATATTATACATTTTATTAATATACACTAATAAAATACACCAAAACAACATTAACATAACCACAACATACTATACAACCCCCCGTAAAGCTTACACTCCCCCCCCCCGAAAAGTGCACTTCCCCTTTGTAACGTGACAAAACTCTTAAAAAACATTTGTAAAAGCATTAAAAAAATTCAATGAAATTACCTGGATTTACCTGGGGGAGTTTCGGGGGTAACGCCCCCCGCGGGGCCCGGTTTGACCAGGCCCCCCGGGGGTCAGCGCCCGTCAACCCGGTGTTGTGCTGGCTGCACGCAAACCCAAGTCGACCAACCCCGGTGTCGGAACGCCCCTTTTGGTGCTTGTCCCTTCCGCTTGAAGACGCCGGGGCTGTTGGTAAACCCCCCTTTTGTGTCTGGAGGCAGTTGAAAAGTCTCCCCCTGAAAATTTTTGTATGGTTTTAACGTGTAGGACACCCCCGCTTTTTTATTGGGGGGATGGTGCTCGTTGCCAAATCTTTGCTTTCGAGGGTGTTTTTTTGTGTGCAAGTCGGGACTGTCCCTCTGGATTTTCCGGTGTATTAACAGTATCTTCCCCCCCCTGCTTCCGGGAAAACAGGTTTAGAAACCTCAAACGCTCCCGTAATTGAGGTGTTTTTCTCCCTTTCGCGCCGTGAAAGTTTTCTGACATTTTTAGGGCGCAATTTCACCTGCCTTGAAAGGTGCTGTTAGAGTGCAGCAATATTCCAGCCTAGATAGAACAAGTGACCTGAAGAGTGTCATCATGGGCTTGGCCTCCCTAGTTTTGAAGGTTCTCATTATCCATCCTGTCATTTTTCTAGCAGATGCGATTGATACAATGTTATGGTCCTTGAAGGTGAGATCCTCCGACATAATCACTCCCAGGTCTTTGACGTTGGTGTTTCGCTCAAATTTTGTGGCCAGAATTTGTTTTGTACTCTGATGAAGATTTAATTTCCTCATGTTTACCATATCTGAGTAATTGAAATTTCTCATCGTTGAACTTCATATTGTTTTCTGCAGC